GCAATTGAAGTTGCAGCAGGATGAGAGTTTTGTTTCCGCTGAATGCTTAATGTGTGGGAATGTTTTGGATGGTGGGCACTAAGTTGATTTGACACAAGTCAAAATAGCTCAAGATTCAAAAATAAGACTTCAAAGACTAATTTTGTTGAACTACTTAAAATATCGGTTGGAAACTGTATGGCTACAATTAAAACATTTGCTTCAAGCATTTGTAATCCAAATTCAGAAGTATTAAGCTACTTTATGAAAACTAAAAGGGCATTTGACAAAAAAATTAACAATGCTGTTAGCATTTTACAAGCTCAGGGACATTTTATAGTGAAGAAAAATGTAAAGGATGAACAGTAATTAAACTTTGGAAGTTCTTTCATTTTCAATAAGCAAATACATCTACTAGGAAAGAATCTGGTTTTTGTGAAAAATTAGGTAATAATAAATACAGGGGTTTTATATTTTACTAGAACTCAGTTTTAAAATTTTTTTGTTAGTTGCCCCTACAAAAACTTTCAATTTGAAATGAATGCAAATAAATTTGCCAATAAGCCTCATCACCATTCAGTTTATTTTACAGTTGGTATCATTTCACTTAGTTGCAGGACTTCACTGTGTTTATTTTATAAAGCTTACAGAATTCTATTATCCTGTTACTTATACTGAAAAAAATATGGCACCAAAATGCTGACAGTTTTAGAAATCCCTTATATCAACATCTTTCCAGTAGGCTTGCTCACTAGTGTTATAGTAAGAAAACCCACCTTGAACACAGACAATAATTTGGAGAAACTTCACTTTCTACATTGTGAATCACATATAAGATAGTATAAGGGGTTAGCTTTAGCCAGCTGAAGAACTTTTTAACACATTCATCCCTCATAGAGCGTAAGAGCAGTCTTCTTATGTGTCAGTGAAAGCAGTACTCCTGTATTACCTATATATTTGTGATATATAATTACAATATACATTTCTATAACCGTACCCTTTATGATACTTATGACTAGATGACCTAATATTTTCCTACAGATTTTACCATTGTTTACATTATACCAATACATTGTTTCTGAGATTTGCAAGGACCCAACTAAATGTATTGAAGGAAGAATCTTCAAGGTAATCATACAAACTTTCTTTTTATCACAGCACATTGTATTTCAAATAAACTTTTAATTTCTTGGTTAAATATAGTCTATTTAATATTTCTTCATATATCACTACTACAAAAAGTAATGCTTTAAAGTTCAGCTATTGCTTAGCGTTTCTTAGCACAATAGATTATAGAACAGGACAACTTTCTAAATGCAATTATTATGTATATTCTTAATGTTAGTAGGATGTAGAGTTATTTATACAGTTTTATTTTTAATGTCCTACAGAGACTGTACTTCCATCATTTCTTTCTACTCTCCATTTAACAAGCATTCTCCTTAAACATATGATCATAAGACTTTCCCTCCTAGATCCAAACTTTTTACTCAGTATTTTTTATCTTGTTCTACCATGCTTTTAAATGTTTTCTCATGTGCAACACATAAATGATTTTTTGTTCACAATGTTCTGGATTTGTTATTCGTATCATGGTGGAACCAGGTTGTCAGACTTCTGGGAACAGATTTTTGTCATTTCACTAATGTTTGCTTGTTGGTTTTGTTTTGGGGTTTTTAATCACTTGGGTTTTTTTAAAGGAATCTAACTTGTAGTAAGAGTCGAAGTATTATTGGTTTTAGAAACTTTCAAGGGAATGTTGATATGGGTTAGGGAGAGTAGCTGAGTACTATGAGAGATGTGTAAAATCTATGAAATAGATTTTGATAAGGGGCTGATTTTGGACTGAAACTCAAAGCTCCAGCCAGTTGAATTAAATTTTTTTCCTTTGTCAGGAGCAAGTTTTTGAAGAATACGTTTCTGGATTTTTTTCATTTTTGTTTTTAAAAGTGAAAGACCCATCTTTGAGATTTCACTTATTTACTATAAAATGTAAAAGATTTATTTCCATTGAATAACATTCTCCATCAATGTACTATTCCAGTAGCCAAATCTACTAGCAAATTACCTTTGAATAAATTTTATTTTGAGTGGTAAGGATAATTGAAAATTATTTAAATCAAAGGCTCTGTTATTTTTTCACAGATTAATGTACTTACAGATATAGGATTTTTTACGGAGGCCTTTCATGAACTGTCTTTGCTTAACTGTGGGGAGAGAATTCCATCGAAAATACCTGCAGGATACAGAAAAATTGAACAAATGAAGGTAAACACCAGTGAAGTGTAACATCAAACTATAACACTCAATTCTTTTCATGAAACTGCACATACTCCATGTCTGTATGTTACTACATATTCCTAAAAAATTCCTGAATTTCTTTCAATAGGCAGGTCAAATAGCAGGCATTGAATGGCTATAATTTCTCTCACTGAATAGCAGGAACAAACATAAATTTTGAAACATGCATGCTGTCATACAGTCAGTAGTGCAGATAATACTGTTGAAAAGATAATGTGTGATTTCATAAGTAGACATAAAAAATATGGGTAGAGCTCTTGCCCCATTAATGGCAGAATTCCCACTGCCCTAGCAAGGAGCAGGGCAGTTGAGGGGCAGCCAGGGCAGCCCCCAGCCCAGGGCATCGGGCACCTCTGTGGGGCCAGGGACAGGCCGAGGCTGTGCCGGGACATCAGCCTGCAGGTAGGGGTCAGGATCAGCGCTGGTGAGGAGAACTTGGCTCAGACACAGCCCCAGGATGGCAAAACAGGGCCATGGGGTTTGGCCAAGGCTGGGCTGTGATCTGGACCCTGCTTGGGGGGCCCGTGGCAGGGCAGGGCTGTGGGGACCTGTAGACCAGCCCTGCTGTGGCATTGTTGGGGCAGGGGCTGATGGCCCTGGGGGCTGAAATGGGGTCCTGGCCTGTAAGCAGGGTTGGGGGACCCCCAGGAGGTGCGGGGCAATAAAAGTTACTGGTGCCCTCAGAGCTTTGACAGTCATGTCACCCCAGTTCAATCACTTTGATTTTCTCCATATCTAAAGCCATATTTCTCCATATCTAAAGTAGTGATCTTACCTTGATCACTAATGTGCTACAAGGTTATGAAGCTGTTAACAATTGACCTGGGCTGCTTTGTTTTACCTGTGAGCACACCTGTGCAGGCAGATACAGTCCAGAGCTATTGGACAAGCCTCCCCCATAACAATTATGTTTTCCAAGCACATACCAAAGTAATCTAATAAATCATTGCTGAGTGAATGCAATCAAGGTCTCCCTTATCTGAGTGGTGCTTTTGAGTAGGTGTCACCCCATGACAAAATCTGTGTGCCAGCAGTAGGGAGCTGGATTGAACATGTGATAGAAGTCTAGTGGGACAGGTAGGGACACCCCTTTTGACAGCATCATGGATTTAACTTGATTGTACAGCCACATTCTATACATGCAGTAGGTTGATATTTCTAATCTGGTGATAATGACAGGCTGGTGCTGAAAGGGCAGTTCCTAACACACCTCCATCACTTTACATTTGCTTCCCTTACCCTGTGTTGCAGGGCAAATTGAGTTTAATGAGCTGATCTGAAGGGAAATTTCCCCCCTCTTCCCAAACCCTGAGAGGGAGTTTCCAGCTGACCCATGGCCTGACTGTCCTTACCCTGCAGCCTCACAATGGCTATAACCAGCACAGAGCAGTAGTATCTTTTTTGGCAGTAGCCAACAAATCAATGTCTAAGCTAATTAATAGGAGAATCATTACAATACATTTATGACAGGATGTCAAATGTTTATATTTTAAAAAAACAGAGATATGGACAAGCACTCCTTCTACAATAACCTGAAGTAGTACTAGGTTTTAAACGAAACATGAACTTAATAAAAAGTAAAATTAAAATATTTATCAAAAAAAGATGACCTTTTTTATTTACCAATGACACTTTCATACTAACTGCATGTGAAGATAAGAAGCTGAAATCTAGTGATTTTCCTCAGAGCAGAAGCTACATAACATTCTCAGTAGGTTGAGCCATAAAAAGTTATCAGCATCCTCACTGGTGTTGGTTCTGCAAAGCTTCTCTGTTCATGGCTACAGTAAGGAATGCATTTACTCCTTACTGATGCTAGTCAGATTAAGTTCTTTCCTTAATTTGTGTATTTTTTGAAGAGCTCACAGAGTACAAAGTTAATAAAAGAATTAATAAAAAACACATAGAACCCAAGTTGTGTGTAGAGCTCTCCGTTATGATGAAAGCTGGAAGTGATCTTTACCTCTGCCTTTCCCTTCCCCTCAGTAGACTGATTTGTCTTCTGGTGAAAAGGTAAAGGGGTTATGAGCAAGGACTAGAATTAGGGCTAGGGTTCAGAAAGCTGAAACACATATAAATGAAGGAAGAGTTGTTTACAGAGCCCTCAAGGAGGCTGAGGTCTCAAGTTCATCCTGACCTGTAGCTCTTGTTTGTGTTCCGTTCACAGATCTGTGCTCTGGTGAATAGCAGAGGAGGCATGTGCTAAGTCTGGAGTTAGGTTGGGATTCAGAAATGTAAAGAACATAAAGGCAATTGATGGTTGGTGTCTATAGAGCTCTGAGAATCTGGAAAGGATTTTTGTTGGTTTATGCCTTTTTCTCCCCTTGCTTCAAGCTGAAGAATCCTGGTGCATAGCACAGGAGATGTAGGGATAATTCTGGGTCTGGTGTTATGGTTCAGAAATGTAAAGCCCATAGAAGCCAAATAGTTGTGGGTATTTTCAGAGTCCTCAAAGTATAGTTGGAAATGCACTACACTTGTCCACTGCTCTGTTAACTCACTTATTTTATACTCATATAGTTAACACATGACTTATTTTTGGGTTTGTCCATTTTACAGGCCTTAAAGAAATTTGACTCCTCAAAATCTCTCCTGCATGTTACAAATTTACAGGTAAAAAAAATCTGAAAGAGTTAAAATTTTATGCTAGACATAAATATTTATTTCTCTGGAATCAGTTAGAGATTATTTGGTTCAGAAAATATACTTGTTATTGGTAAAAACCAGTAAATAGAAAACATATTCTCCTCAACAGTTTACCATTTCCTAAATTTTAAATTTTATGGCTGACCTCTCAAGGGAGAGGCAAGTACCATTATCACCATTTTTCAGATTGGAGACCTAATATGTACAAATCTGTGACCTGTTTGTACAAGCATACTAGTAGAATTACTCAGGGTTGGGGTTTTTTGTCATGATATGTAGGGTCTGGTGTTTATCCTGCTAAAATACCAAGAACATCAGCCATCTAGCCTTATAATTTCTATCAGTCAGAACGGTCTTCCTAGATTCGTCTTAATTCAGATTGGGGTTGAAGTCCATTTCTGGGGAAGAAAAAAAATGTGCATCTGTAAACCAGTTAATGAACAGTCATTTCTAATTTTAATTAAAATCACATGTTCATCAATGACTTATTTTTTGTTTTTCAGTTTCAATCATTTTCTTTCATTTTCCTTGTCACAGATCCATTGAGCCAGTAGGGGTAAATGTTAGCAGAATGTGGAAAAAACAAACTGAAAGTAGAAAAAGCCCACTTTTTCCTCCACTTTTCTCTCTTTTGTTAACAGTAAGCTTTTGTTTCTCCTACAACAGTTGATATTACAAGGCAGAAATGAGATGTCTATCTTGACAGCTCTTGATCTCACTAGTTTCAGATCTATTTTGAAGTTGTGTTTTATCTTGAGCTTTTGATTTGAACAACTTCACAGTCTCTATGGGGCTCAGCTCTATGTAGACTTTCAACTTCTAAACTTATTAATCTAAAGTGAGAATATTAATCTAAAGTGAGAAAAGTTATAGCATCTAAAGGATGCTATAACAAATAACAGAAAGATTCTATGAAATATGCTAGAATGGGCTGATACAAGAATTTTTTTCCTTGCTTAATTTTTCTCATCGGGATGTATTGTAACAACAGACTTTCCTTTGAGTTGACATTTCTGAACTACAGATTTACCTACATATTTTTGTGATACCTACATATCCATAGCTCATAGAGTGCTATGGACAATGCGGAAAACTAGAACTCACACAGAGTAATAGCTAGAACTTTCTAGATGCACCTTCTACTGGAAAATCGATCACTGAGGCTGTAGTAAGTGCTACGAAGGGGTGAAATATGTTTGGAAAGGAAAACAGTAACTCATCCATAATGACTAAGAGCATATTACTAACATTATTCATGTTAATTGTTAATAAACATCATTATTAATAGCAGCAGAATATGGCTTTAACAGGAAAAATGTAAAATATGTCATTTCAAATACTCCCAATTGTTAACTTTCTTGTAGGCACTGGAAGACATATTTAATTGGAGTCTATCTTTAACAATGGTGCCACTGTGCAGCCAACAAATTGTGAATAAATTAACCTTAGCCAAAATGCATTTCATCATTTGCCTTTCTGCCACAATAAATAATATACCTGAAAAAGTGGAAAAACACATCTATTCTGTTGATAACAAAAGCTTGAGGGAGACAAGCAGAATTACAGCATCAAATGTAAAAGGTAATTATAAGGGTGGTAGAAAAGTGCATTTATTCTGCAACTTGTTTCAAGCATAATATTTCCACTTTTAAATGCATATGCGTTAATGTGTCATTATAAACAATATTAATATTAAATTTTGCTGGAAAAATCAGTCATTATTGAAATAATAAGCATGAAGATTTTTCAAGAGGTTTTTTTGCTAATATTTCTAATATTTTTGGAGCTGTTTTCCGTTCTTCCTCACATATATTGATATGGAAAGTCCCAATTATAAATAGAAGAAAAAGGGGTATATTATTCAAATTACTAAGAATGCTTTGGTTCTGTGTCTGTTGTCTGAAATTTCATCTGAAATGTATTTGACAGTTGATGCTGATAAGAATTCAAGACAACAGGAACAAAGAGACACAATGGTGCAGCTCGTCTGTAAAGATGAATTAAATATGGCCATGCTGAAGGTAATGTTGTTCTGTAGGAAAAAAAGCTTAAGGAACTGCATATTGTTCCAAAAACATTGCTAATGCTTTCAATATAACAGAATTATGATGGGAGGATGGCATGAATAAGGGGACTAGAAATTTCTGTTTCCAATCCGATTGTAATCATACTAGCCATTCACAAAGTCCTGGTGGTTTGGTGCAGTTTTTCAAATGGTCTGGTCTATGCTATATAAATGTCCATGGGAAATATTGTCACAATCAGATCTCAGTATGACTGTTTCAACAACAAGGGTAAAGACTGAATGGGATTTCAGGGATAAAATCATCCCGGTTCAGAGGGTGGCGGCTGTAGAACATGTCAGAGACTCTTTGATAGGGCAGTATGCTCTACAAATAAATGGAAAACCATTCTCTACCATATGTGAAGTGTCTCAAATTTTTCATGTTCCTCTTTGTGATACTTAATTTTGGAGAAAACATACCACGGCTAATTAGCTTCTTTGTTTGAAGGGGTTTGTTTTTAGTTTTTGTTTTGTTTAATTGTAAACTTCATGCTTGGCAGTTTCACATTACAAAAAGACCAAAACTAAGGGCTAACATATTCTTCTTTCAGAAGGGTCTTCCACTTTGGAAGTATCTACTTTTGGCCATTGTTACAAACGAAGACATGTACAAAATACATCTGGAGAAATGGAGGATGATTTTGTATGGCAATTGGTGTATGCCATACATTAGAAACTTGAAAGTTTTAGTATAGTTTGAAATTAACTTGAAAACAGCATCTTGAAAATAACTAAAATAGAAATGTTAAATTAATTTGAATGGGTCTTGTTTCAGAGACATCATATATTTCTTACCCTTCGTATTTTTCTTTAACCACTCTATTCTTTTGTTTTTTAAGTAGGACTCTGAATTCGTTGAGGAAACTAGTCAAAAAAGGTTATTGGATGATACAAACCTTGGAATTATTTTTGAATTCTGATGAAAGCTCCACAACTGAGAGTTTATTTAAAATTAACTTTCTTTTAGATTTGGTTTTCACAGCTTCTTACAGCTTTCTTTGTCAGAATGACTGTAAATTACAGTTGAACTTTAAGAATACATATTGCACTCAAGGATCTGTCAAAGTATATATAAAAAAGAATGTACTACTTCTTGCAACAACCTTAATGTTGTATTTTAATATTGTATTTTGTTGTTTAAAATTACTAGGTGTAGTAAGAAGCATAGTATAAAATTATCAAGATAGCTATAAGATAAAGATAAGAATGAAAAATTATTAATATTGCTAAGTCATAAAATACATAGGTAAGCATAAATTGCAATAGTACAGGCACAGTTAAGATGTTGCTACTTTCAACATATTGAATCTGTAAACATGAAAAAAGCAAAATTAAACCTCTATTCATAGAAAAGGCATATTGTATTAAAGTTGATTTGTTTTAAGTTGCAGTGACAGTAGGCTATAACAGAATAAAATTTTTAATTTCTTTCATTATTTTTTGAAATCATACAATCCTCTGTTCTCCTCTAGGGGATTTTATTGATGGAAGCTGAAGAAAGTCTTAGCCATCTTGTGCAGAATATACAGGACAAATATGATGGGGAGATATCTCGATGTGCTGCTGAAGATTTAGAGGCTCTTATTGAGGCCAAACTCCAGCTTGCTGCTATTTCTCAGCAAAGGCATCAAGCAGCTCTTAGGTAAGTAATATTATGAACAACCTTATGTTGCATAGCCATGACTACAGAAGATAAAAAAAAAAAAATCCAGCAATTTTGTATTTGAAGTCTTTTTGTCTACATTAATATTCTAAATCTTAGTAACCAGCCATAACAACCCCACTAGTATATCTACAAATGTAAGTTACGCTGGCATTTCATTTTTTATTATTACTTAAAAGATCATCAGTTATTGACCTATGATTTCTCTGTGAGGTGTTTTTGTGATACAGTGTTATACAAAATTGAAGAAAAAGCTGCAATATTCACTGTTTTTGTTAAAGTAAAAGTCTGGTTATGTTAGGTCACGTGCTTTTTATAATCTTAAAGTGTACAGCAGAGCATTACTGTCTCTGAACTACTGAATTCTACTTTGTTCTAGAATGCCCTGTGTTACTGTCATAAAAGAAAGTTTCCTCTTGATGCACTTATTGCTGTCAAGTTCAAATGTTAAAATTATTTATTTTAAATTAATTTTATTAAAAAGCATTGATGTAATCTTTAACACATTAGAATAGATTTTAGCAGGCATTAATTTTATTGTTAGCAATAGTGGGTAAAATACTGTTGTATTTACATGGTCTGACAGATATTTTCTCCAAACTACAATTTTCCAATTGTGTGATTTTTTGAGATTCTGACTTCTCTTGGAGAACTTAGTTAATGAAGTTACAATTGTGCTGTTCTTTGAATATATGGGGCACACAGAAATATATTAACTCTTTGTAGATGCTAAATTCTGAACATTGTTTTGACGTTTTAGTTAGGAGTAGTCTTCTTTTTAGCATACCTGTAATTTTAAATTACTTTGTATAAGAAGGATAATAGTTTTGCAATACGTAATTTTTATTAGTGTCAAGCTCTTTTTATCTAATTTTTTATTAGGTTGAAAAATCTTTGAGCGTACAAATTGTTAACTAGAGATGCAACATGTAGAGGTGTAGTACTGTCGCTTGGGAGACTATGTTGAGATTAGGTAGAATGTAATCAGTATTTGTAACTTTTGTTACACCTAATCTGACTAAACTCACCAAAATTTTTACAGTAAGTCTTACATTATAATAAGCACCAAGCAAAAAGCAAAATTAATATTTTTTAATTGTTGGAATACTGGTGAAGATTGCTGTAACACTTTTACTGAGGAAGTGGTAGGTGATTTAACTGGCCAACAGATAAACCAGTCTCAGTGTTTTTTTTTTCTCTTACCCAATTAGCAAAAAAGAAATGTTTTCTATCTCAAAAGCAAACTATCTTCCTTCTCCCAGCTGTCTTAGATGAATAAACAAACCTCCAAATTAGATATCCTTTAAATAGCACAATCCCTTTGTGGCAGCAATAAAAAAACAAAATTAACAAGGACAGGAGCTTCACAGTGCTATATAGACTACTGAACTGAAAATAGTAAGAGTACTGCAGCATGGTCTTTCACCTGGATTTTGTTTATGTTATTTTAAAAGATTGAAATTTCCCCAAAGTTCAGATATTAGGACTGTAATAATTTAGTAGTAATGTCATTAGTGAAGATGTGAAGTAAGAACTTGTAGGATATTTGCAGACATTTCTCATAATGAAATATTAATCTATTTCTGTCCCTTTTGAATTAGATTAATTTACCGTAAATTTCTCAAAGAGAAAACAACAAATCAATGGATAGTGACCTCATCATGCTTTTGAATGCCATGTGGATTTTATAAAATTATCATATTAGCAACTAAGGACCAGTATGCAGACTTATGAAACCTCCTGTGCATAAACCCAGTTTACCTTGATACTAGGCTTGGTAAAACCTCTATTACTAGAGTTCTGACCCAAACTTTCTCACCCTACTAAACTGGTTCCAGTATGCAAGCCATTTTCAGTGCAGGACCCTTATTTTGACATGCAGTTATATGCTAGAGTGTAGTTTCTCTCTTGGCTTATAACTTGTCTCAGATTGAAGAAACTTCTTGAGAGTATCAAGGATTCAAATGGATGTCAAGCGTTTTATGCATCATTTTTTGTGACTCTCAAATTTTTGATGGGTGTTTAATGGCCCTTATATATTGATAGTGGTCAGGTAGCAGGAAAAAAACCCCAACCAACAAACAAAGCAAGGGTTTGGGTTTTTTTAACCTATTTTACAATTTTATTGCACTGCCATCCGTGGAAACTGCTGATATATCTGCCTCAGATAGAAATGAAACATTTCTTTAGACAGCTGAATGTTTCCTGCCTGCCAGCCTAGAAATCAAACTTTGCATGATATTACAGAAATTCATCATTTTTTTCCTTTGGCAAAATGACTTAGTGGTGAAATTGTTATAGTCAGCTGTACCTTCCTATTTTGATCATCTTGTCACTTTCTGATTCAGCTGATAAAAGGACGTGTATTTTGTCAAGGGAAATATATAGACACATCATTCTTGTTGACAGCAGAAGAGGGTCACAAAAATTTCATCAAGGGAAGCTTCTACATTACAGCCTCTGTCTTGCAAAATATTTATGCCTCAGAATAAGTTTATGTATAGGACTAATTCCAGTGACCTGAAGGAGAGTACTTACATGATATCCCCCTTAAGTATGTGAGGTTTCTAAATACCCAAATATGTGCTTGTCTGCTTATCACAGAATCACAGAATCACTAGGT